GAAGAAAAACGAAGTAGAAAAGGGAAATGGGAGTATGGAAATATTTGTAATAGGTAAGAAATGTTTTGGTCTATTAAGTCGTACACATTTCTTACTGTTACCACAATTGGATCTCGTCAGTATGATGATTAAAATATATGTTCACAATATGAAATACATGACAAAATATAAAATATATGTTCGCAAATTCAACATATTACGAGGAGAACCAGAAACGCCTGAAACTTTGTCGTATTGCCTATACGCCGTGTCGTTCACAATTTATGTCTGGTTCTTTCAATAACAAATTTTTGCGTTGAAAAACCTATTCGCATTTTTTTTTTTTGCTTTATTTTACTCACTTTCATCTATAGCTATAGAAGAAAGTTAAAAAAATACGAATAGGTTTTCTGATGCAAAAACTAATTTGAATTCAAAAAACCCCTACTTCTCAATCTTATATAAAAACTATGTACAGAGGCGACAGAGAAAAGCTGAAGATGGTACAGCACGGAGAAAAACCTTAATTTCGAAATTTCATGAATCGCTTTTGTGTCAAGTTGTCGCTATCATCAGCGGAAAAGCTTAGCACACAAATCATATTAAACACAGAACAGAAGAACGTACCAACTATGCAGCAAGTTTCCCAGCAGAATCTGTGCGTTTTGAAGAATGAATGCGCAAGATGTGCCAATTCCGCTCGCATGCCCTGAAAAGTCACAATATGTTCAAATCTTAAAATAAGCTGTAAAGCATAAGATATTTCATAAAAATAAGAAGGACGCCCCTCCCCACGAGACCGCCCTGGATCCGTCTGTGTAAATACTCATGGCGCAGCTGCTTCAAGAGATGATACAATACTCATTTTGAATATCATCTTAACTCATCTAATATGCTCAAAAGGTGGCATAATGTATTCGAAAGATAAAAATCAATTCATTCATACCCGGACAAATAACGAATCCGAATATAAATTCATTTGATCGACACGAAGTGGATCCATTTTGCGTACTCTTTTGAAAAATTGCATACACATCTCGTGCTCTGGAAAGAAGTTCTTTAATTACACAAAAAGCATGTCATCTCTGCTGAACAAACTCAGAGAAATGGAAAATAAGAATCCACTTTTACGTGGACGGAAACAGTTTAATTTCCTAGTAACTGCCCATGAGACGAAAAAACGAAAAGAATGCCAGTTGCACTGAAGGAGACGAAGATCACAACAATAATCCAACAGTTATTCCAAGTATTAAAGATAAATATAACTACAGTAATAATCATTAATCCTACAGTTCGAGAATTTTCTGGTTCACTCTAACAGGAAGGCTATGAGAAGAGCTGAATTTGAAACTTTTTGGTCGTATATGGGTATTGAACATTTCCTTAAAATTTCAACTCTCTAGCTTTTTTCGTTCTCGAGTTAGCAACATTCCCGCCAAAACTTTCAGGTGTCCGTAATTGAAGCGTAGATGTGTGTTAATGTCGATATCACGTTCCTGGGGTCGCTCTTGGCCAGGGAACACACTGGCAAAATTTCATCATCAAAGCTTAGGTGGATGACGAGTAAGAATACTCAGACAGACGTACACACACACACACACACACATACAAACATACACATACACACAGACAGGGTCGTTACAATATGCGTTTTTGCTGCCTATTGCAGCGCTCTAGCGCATAAAAACTGGAAAGGGCATCGTGAATTACCCATACCTTGCATATTGTACAATGATGCCGCAACCTGATTCATAATATATGGTGCATTGGGAAAGCCCGCTTCACTCAATCTTTCAAATTGCTCCACTGCATTTTTGTGCAACTCAAAACGAGCAAGTACGGCAGCTCGAAAAAACTGAAACATCCAGTGAAAACCCTGTGCGTATGCATCGCTTTCAGCCTGCAACAGTGAACACAAATTACTTAGGAAAAGGAAAAACAGTTCAATTTCTAATAAAAATCGTTCAAAAATTTCTAGAAAAGCTCAAATTTTTATTCTCGTTCGTCAAAAAACAAGAATTTTTCAAGTTAGAAGCTAAACGTCGAAAAACATTTTTTTTGCAAAAGCCAAAATAAATTTGGAAAAAATGCTGAATATTTGAAAGTGAAAAAAACTTTTGAAAATACAGAATTCAGTTTTCCAGTTGAAGCATGTCCGAGAATGATAAGAAAAGTATATTCAGTTAAAAACGATGTGAAAGAAAAAATTCTGTGCTGTACAATTTGCATATTTTGTTCAATTTTTTATTACCTCATTCACCGACTCCACAAGCACAATCAGTTCTTCCCATGCCGGCCACATTGCCCGATTTGCGATCACTGACTGAAGAAATGCTTCTTTCGCGTCCTCCTTCAAATTCATACTGCATCGTACTTTTCCAAGGCTAAAATGTGATTTTTTTGAAGTACGGATAAGCAAATTCCCGTAAAATCGGTAAACGATAAAAGACAACTGATGAGTAAATGGGTTATTGAATGGTATTCATGCAGTGTTAAATAAGTACCTGAAAAAACTGTCAGTCCGAAAGAAAGAATCTGTAAAAATTGCGGAATTAAACAAAACAGAGATTATTATAAGTATAACGTTGAATCAGTAACTGCTTCAGAATTAAGAACAATACTGAACTTCAGAAGCTGACATGGAATTTAAAGATTTAACCCAATTTTCATGCCAGAAGTTGAATTCTCTATCCCATTACATAACCCAGACCAAGAGTCCGAATTTTGGGGAACTTTTTAAAAAAAATATCGATCTTTCGGGAAGCTCAGAGAGAAAATTGAAAGTGTAAGATTTGCTAGTTTTTATCTTCATTTCCCCACCGGTCTGATCACGCTACCTGAAAGTTTTTGGCATAAAAATTAGGTCAAATCTTTAACTTCCATTTCTTTCCTTCTTCCCTCTCATTCTAGAAAATCTCATGCAATAATCTTGCAAATACAGAGTGTAAATCTCGTCTATACGTTTGTTTTTCTTCACGTTGTCCCTAGAACCCCCCTCAGTTCACCCTTATCAGTAGCTGAGCTAAACAATCCTCAAAAGCTAATGAAAAACTAACAGATAAAGGAGAAATTCATCAAAATATTCAGGATGTTCGTCACCCAAAATGCACAGTTCAGTGTGAAGTTCTACAAACTCCGAATCATCACTATCTGATCGCCGTTCCAGTGAATCGGCTTCCAATTCCAGTCGATTTCGTTCGCATGCCTAAAAATTTGCACATTCATAAGGGGGGAGGGAGAGGAAGGAGAAGAACAAGAAGTTAAAAAACACCAAAAAAAAAAAATGAATCAAGTCTTAAGCACATAATTTACTTCAGCGAAAAGCTGCAATTCTGTAATACTGCAGGACTAAAAGCTAAAAAAATGCCGCAAAAAAAAACAAAGAACGAAAACAGATATAGAGGGAGCTGTTTTTAACGAAACCAAAAAATCTCACTGTATTTTTAATGCTAAAAAAATAGATCATTGCCAACCAAGTGATGTTACTGGAATGCTCCCAAATGCCACGCAAGCATAGTAGACTCTCGGAACCAGGCTGCATACCTCCAGTTAGTACCCACCATGCATAGGCGGACCCAGACTGGTTACTTTGGGAGCAGAGGGGCGATTATTCTCTCTTCCCCCCAGCTCCTTATTACATCGGAAGCCTCACCTTCCCTCTCGCTGCTCCCTCCCCCCTTCCCGTCGATCGCTCCGTTACACCCTCCTCCCTTCCTAGTCGGTCCTAAACTGTGGACTGCGGCGACGACCGGGAGGAGAAAAGGTGGAGAGCTCTTGAGAACGGGAGAGGGGCAGGGGGAGGGGCGACACGGGATATCGAACAGAGTTTTCCATAGTAAAACAGCTGCTAAATGAGCCCTTGGAGGGAGAGGGGAATCTTTTGCCCCGCCTGTTCCTCCTGGAACCGCCAGTGTCACTATGTGCTCGATATATGTGCGCCATCTTTTCTGAGAACCAAAAGACTGTTCGTTTACTTCTTTGCTAGCACCATTTGGTGTATGTAAGCATTTCAGGAACACCACTAACAACATGAAAGCTTCACAAAACCAGTTCAGGCGGTTTGATTTTTTTTTTTATGTCATAGTATCTTACCAAATAACGCGCCCAGTAATACATGAAACGATCACGCGGTGAATGATCTTTTATTGGCTCCAGGAAGTGCACTGCCCGGTAAAATTCACGCTTTTTTATCAAAACTTTGCCTGAAAAAGTAAAAAATACGCCAAAAAATTTTACTAATCATAGTAAAAACATGAATGAAATTAATAAATATGAGCTTAAAATCTTTATTTGTAATTGTTTTTTTTTTATTTGGTAATTTATATGCTAGAAAAACTACTGCTTAAGTCAATTAAATAATATTTCTCTCGCATAAAACTTATTAAATAAATTAAAAAAGAATAAATATGGAAACAAAATTCCTTCGGAGTAATATTCCACTGGTACCGTTCCCTGATCCTATATATTTATTATTTCAAATCATTAATAAATCTCATGAAAAATTTTCAAATCATTAATAAGCTATTGCGATAAAGATTGCTACTGGCAAAGTGTTACCACAGAGACCGCCGTAGATTAACATTCTCGGTCCTCTTATTACTAGTAAAAACCAGGAAAAATTTAAAACTCTAATTTGTGATAAAAATAATTTTTAGAGCTTCTTCCTCTACAACAATGATAATAAAAATTCGAAAAATCATGCTCCTAAGAATTGTATATATTACGAGACCATCTCACTCGGCTCTCGATTTTCAACCAAAACTCGGTACTCATCGATCCGAATTCCAAATTATAACGAACCAAAAAACAGTGAAATTAAAACGAAAACTGTGAAATTATAATTATAGCGAAACTGAGATATTACAACGAAACAAACCAAATGTAGCGGTTCGAGCGATACGCGAATTCTCGGTTTGGTGAACACTGTTTTGCGGATCGGTGATCATCGAATGTTCTTGCTGGTATTTCTCATAGGAATTATACCAATCGTCCGAAACATAGTGTAGCATTTCGCTTGCCCTATAATACACCATTACTTATACAGAGATCATTAATACTGCTTGGTTAAGTACCCTGTATTAGCGTGATGTTACTGCTGGTACTAATACCTACTTAAATATATATGCTCCAAAACTGAATGTAAAACTTTGTTAGGTCAGCTTGCTGACGATTCTAAAATTTCGCACAGAATATGTCCCCAAAATTCCAGCTTCACAACATTTTTACTGTGATGAAATTTGAAATTCACATGAGAAATATATATTAAAATAAATGGCAACGCGCACCAGACTAGCCGGTGCGACCATGCGTTTTGTGCAATTCAGCCCATC